AATAATATAATATACGAAATTCCCCAATACATAACCTTCATATTAGTGAATAAATAAATAACTGCAAAATGCATGCAGTAAAATGCACTTATACTAAACGACAAAGTTAGCAAATAAATAGTAATATGCAATTGTCTTGGGGAAAAAACATAATAAAAGTGAATCCTGACTTTATATGAAACCTTATCCGTACACGGCATGACATAACTTTAGGCCATATGATAAACAACTTGAGCAAACAATGATATGAAGAACAACACAAAAGAAAGGATTTGCAGCATTAACACTTTATATGTTTACTTTTACTCAATTTTCTTTAATTTAAGATTCGCAACGATTAATTTATCCACCATAATAAATATCATTAGCAATATTTCTTTATTTCTTTTTTTAATTTGACAAGTTTGCTATCGTTCCAACAAAAATTTTCCAGATCAATCTAGTCACATTAACTTGAGAAAATGCCAACTATTATTATTATGTGCACAATGAATGATAACAATGCATATATTACAAGCTATGAAAGGGATATGGTAGATAAATGACAAAGAATAAAGGCGCTGATAAGAGATAAATAAGAACAATAACAGAGCTCGTTATACGTGAGGTTTCAGGAATTTATCAACAACAAAATATAGTTAGTTGATAGTATGATTTGTGCCTTATTAAAGCATTACAATTTACAACACTTTTTTTTACTTTAAATTTGCTGTTTTCAAAGGCAGTACAAAATGTGACCAACCAGGAATCCTTTGCAATGCGCTGACAAAATTAGTACTAATAAAATTAATGAGTTAAATTCAAATACTGTTTCATGACAAAGTATGAAATGTAAAGTAAAAATTACAAAAGGCTCTTAAATCACAATACCTGCCTGTGGTAATGAAAAGAAAAATGAGAAAAAAAAAGAATTATTTTCTAAATTGAAAAAGTATACTTACTAGCAGACGCTTGAAGATATGTAAGTAGCATAGTAAGAATGAGAGAATCAATGTCAGGGGCTGAAAATTTCTCCCTGCATTGAATATGAAAGCTGACAAGATCAGAGACTCAATTAACTATGATTTAATGCAATAGAACATAAAACAAAAGTATGACTGAAGTGTTTGTATTGCCATATTTCTTTCTCTTTGCTTTATAAGAATAACAAACTCAGATAGTTTGATAAGATTACATGATCAACAGTACACGAAAAACTAATGTAAGGCTTGTCTTACTGTACGGTATTCACTGATTAGTATTACTGATTTGAATTACTGATTGCGCTTGCTTCCTACTACTTTTCTATGTCTAAATCCAAGAGATGTTCTGGTGACAGATCATGATCACCCGCTGAAGATTGTAACAATCGCTTCAAATAGTCACTTTGAGGTATCTCATAAGCTGGATTCAGTGAATCCACAAATTGCTATAAAATAATATTGTCTTGAGAAGAAAATAACTTCTATTTGCTCTTATTTTGTTGTAAGAGTAAAGTAAAGAAATGTTATAAATAAAAGACAGCCAACGTTCATGATTGTAAAATATTGAATCACGAGCAATAGCGCACAAAGCAAACTAATTCTGCATAAAAGAGCTTTTGATTAATCAGGACAAAATTTTTCTAATACAAATTCAAACAAAATCGAAGCGAAGAAACTAAGAGCATATTTTACCTCATAAAGTAAAATAAGCAAAATGCTGAATACCTTGAATTCAGGTAATTCCAGTAGATGAAATGCATTTGCTTGGAACAAAAATTTAGCGAGAGCAATATCTCTAGCAGCTCTAATACCAGCAAGTCCTTCATCAGCGGTTGCTGCGACTGAAAAATCACGAGATGGTACAATCGGTTTGGTGGTGCTAATTGTAGCAGTTGCTGCTGCTGCTACAGATGTAGTGACGGCCAGGTGAACAATGGTTTTATCTACATTTTTACGTGTCTGACGTACTTTTACTACTTCGCCTGTCGGTAATCTCTTACTTACAGTCCTAAAAAAACTTAGTTCATTACATATAACTTTTTCAATCAAAAAAGCCAATGATATTTCATCAAATAAGAACAGCCTCAAATAACTCATAAATTAAAAGTGGCACGGTGAAACTTACTTTCAGTTCCTCAAACACAAGAAAATATTACCAGTCAAAGTCTTATGTCATTACTTGTTCATGTGAATCAAAACCTAATATGTAATTAAACATAAACTATTTTTTAAACATATTTTCAATCCAAAAGTGTTTTACATTCCAGATTATAAATTGAGACCAATTCATTTTTT